CTATTGCCATTCAAACGAACTATATTCATTTGTTCCTAATCTTCACGGCTAAAACCCACCATTCCACGCAAATTGTAGCGAACGTACCTCATTCCCTTCGTATTCTATTGGTGAGATGTAAGTTCTACTCGAGCAGCTTCTTCCGATAAACCGACTCTCAAGAAGATGCTTCCCCGATCGCTACAATCTTAACCTGATCATGTCTAAGTTATCTTCCCCACAGACTGTGTCACTTACTCTCTAACCTAACTCGAGGGACTCTTGGGCCTTGTACAGGGTGAATACCACTGTTTTATATATATATATATATATATATATATGTACATCTCAAAATAAAAATAAAGTATAGTCAGACTTATAATTCTGAGTTCTTTATCATTTATTTTTAAAACCAGTGCTCGATACACAGTAAAGCATAATATTATAATATTATTTAAAAATATGTATTCATCGCGACATAAAAATTACCATGTTTCGGGACCAAAACCTAAACCTTAAATTAAACTTAAACTTAAAGATTTTGTTCCATTCTCAAGCGATGTTGAATATCTTTCGAAAAAATGATCTACTGTTTTTAAGCTAAATAATATATAGTTTAAGTTGGTGGAGGAATGGGATTACAAAATTTTAAGAATTTTATATATTTAAAGTCAAGGCATTTATAGGCACTATTCTTTAAAGCTTTATTATAAAAGCTTTAATGAATAGTGGCTATAAATGTCCTGACATTAAATATATAAAAAATAAAAAAAGAATACCCAGAGAAGAAATAGAAATAGAAAAATCATTTGGTACACACCCCCATTCAACCAAATGGTTAGTAGTAAGTTAGGACATAAATTTCTTGCTTTAATTGAAAAACATTTTCATAGAAATAATACACTTAGCGAAATTTTTAATGAAAACACTCTAAAATGAAGTTATAGTTGTACTAGAAATTTAGAAAAAATAATTAAAAAAACACAATAATAAAATGGTAAATAAATACTTAAGCCAGAATCAACGAAATAGTGATCCAGAAATAAGAATAAATAATAGTAAAGAAAAATTAAGCAACTGTAGGAATCCTATAAATTGTCCACTGAAATGTCTCACAGAATCTAATAGTTTACCAATGCACTATCTCATCTATTGAGATTTCTAATATTGAAAAATTTTATATTTTAAAAATAAGTTTAAATTAAGGTGAAGCCAACATCTGCCTTCCTTAAAAAATAATGAGTATCGTAACCGTACATCCCTATTAAAATATTATTGCCGTTTAAAAGAAACAAATAAAACACCCACAGTAAAATGGAAATTATTTAAAAAAAAAAAGGTATATATTATTTTCTGAAAAATAAAGGTTTATTAAATCAAAAAGAAATAACGGTTTTTGTAGACATAACATTATGTTTACTTTAAAAAATAATTAATTATAAAAAATTGCATAATTATATATCTATTATTTGATCATAAATAAGAAAGTAAGAAAATGCGTAATTAAATTCTAATATTTTAATTTTAATAATACCGTATCTAATAGATATAATAAATGTAGTATTTTAGATCTTTATAAATAAAAATATAAATATATAAAATATGACTTAATCATATTTGAAAGACCCTTTACGACAATCCCAATGTATTCTATAAAATAAAAAAAATAATAAATAATAAATAAATAAAAATGCAAATGTACTGTAGTGTATCTTATGTATTTCCCTAAATAAAAAATTAAAAAAAAAAAACAGACAGTGGTTACACGATTCTCATATAAGGAAGCCAGTATCGGTAGACAGAAATTAAAACTTGCACATAACCCTTAACCTATATTTACTTTGCCAAAGTATGGTAAGTTCAGTTGGGCACCGTTTGTGAGAGAAAGAGCTCTATCAGAAATTTAAAAACGGTATACTGTACTGCTTGGCATTCGCACCGGAAGCTTCAATACGAACATTTCAGAGTGTTTGGGTGTCAATCTGAGGGCAGTGCAGAAGATTCGGAAAGAGTTGGATGAGTCTAATGATGTTTACGAAGATTTTTGTAGTGATCTCTAGTCATTTTCTCATAGGATCTCGGACTCAACACGGGTACCTACATCAAGTGCCTTGAGAAGATAGTGCTGCTGGGTCAAGAAGGTGGCTGTTAGAAAGCCCTGTGTCTGGCAACAGGATTCTGCACCATGCCACACAAGCAGGAGAACCCAGTCATTGATGTAAGACAATTTCTGCGAACATATGACCACTTACACCTTGGCACGTAATTCCCAACTTAAACAAGGAGACCGTCCAGAATAATCGCAGGAGATTCCGAAGTTGTCTGGTAGCCGCGATTAAAGTCAATGGCAATTTTATTGAATAATTTACACTTGAGTATTTCAAGATATTTTTGTATCATTTTGGTCAATGAAATAATAAGTAAGTGTTATTTTCATGCTGGCGGAATTTACACAATTTATTCATCACACCCTGTATATAGTGTATATGTTGTCTGCTAATTGTCTATCAGCCGTTTCGTTAAATGCCACGTAAACTTTTCTTTTGATCTTTTTTGGGGGTAGGTGGGGGGACTCTTTCCATTTGTTGAAAGAGGACCAATAAATTCGGTATCCAGGCATTTTCGACCATCGTTGATCGTCATCACAGAGGATATGAATGGAAGCTTGCAAGACAAATGGAAAGAATACAAAAAAAGATTATCAAAAAGAAAGATTTAATGACACATTTCTAAACAATAATTTTCAGTCAATATATATATATATATATATATATATATATATATATATATATATATATATATATATATATATAAATTTCAAGAGGATAGAATCTAGGTAGAGCTCAATATCTAGGACAGAACAAGAATATAATATAATATAAAAGGCTCAAACACTAATATTCCATGGTTATAATTTATTACATTGGAATCGTAATTATGATCCAATTCATCAGACCTACAAATGTATCCTTTTATATTATATGTGTGTGTGTGCATGTGCGCGTGTGTGTGTGTGTGTGTGTGTGCGTTGTTTGCGTGTGTGTGTGCAGGATTAATGTGAATAAATTTTTTTCACTTAGCTGATTAATATCTACCGAGAAAAACTTGTAAAATGGCCCAGTGAAAAGAACCTGCTTATTCCAAAAACAAGAAACTGAGGATATCTATTATCTACCAAAAGAAAGATTAGCATCAAAAAAGACTTATTTAAATCTTCCCAATACTATTTTTTTTTTTCGGTCGGTTATTTCTAAAGTGCTGGACTATCGAAAAATTTAACCCGGTATCTGGTTATATAGTATATATATATATATATATATATATATATATATATATATATATATATATATATATATATATATATATATATATATAAGAGAGAGAGAAGCCACAAACGCTTCGCTCTTTTCTTTTTAATATACGCACTTTTTTTCTCGTTGGAACTACTCTAACCACTTCCTTTGATATATATATATATATATATATATATATATATATATATATATATATATATATATCTTTGTTTAAGAGTTGATTTTAATTTATTTGTTAAACGTTATTTTTTATTTGAGTAGATTCTGTACTTTTATTTATTTATTAAACAGTACATTTATCAATTTACATCTACTGGTCTGAATATTTGAGAAATCTTAAAAAATATGCACCCTCCGGCAGGATTCGAATCTTCGGCCCCTAAGGGAAACCGTCATTACATTTGATGTGGCTTGACCTCTCTGCGAAAGTATCTACTCAAATATGAGTCTCCATTAAAAAAATAACATTTAAACAAATAAATTAAAAATATGTTTGGAAATTAATCCATTTCCTTAAATCATATTTATCGAATCGGAACTAAAATTTCTTGCGTTTTAAAGTGAATTTTTAAAGACAATATTATTATTTAGATTTGCTCAACCAATGTGTCAATTTGTTCCACTACCTTTCGGCATCTTTGAGACAATTTCATTATTCCATCCTACCACAACTTGGCATCTTTGCGGGCGATAAATTCGTTTAAGTTTACAGGCTTCTAGAAAATTGAAGTTTTCCCATTAAGAGAAATTTTTAGGGACCGAAATTAATGGTGCATTGTTAAATGAGAACGTCTGATGTAGTAAGAGATTCCAGCTAAACTTAACCAATTTCTTCCAGGTCTGTAAACAAACATCTGGCAAAGATCCGGTGAGATCTGGCGTTGTCAACGCAGTTCCCATTGGTCAATTCCGGATGTTTTTCATTGTTTCATGCCTTTGACTGGTCCAATTAAGAATTCAACTTCTGATTGTACCGAAGGAGCTTTCCAATGACATTTGCTGCGCAGCATCACCTTCTTCGGATGCAGACCAATTTTGGGGGTGCTTAATGGTATCACATTTAATTTTCTCCGGAATCTTCCTTGTAAAGAATTCATATTTTATTGCATGCTATCGTTCTTTTATTTTAAAAAAATAGTTGATTTTATTGTGTTTAAGCAGCAGAGAATCGCACATAGAAATGTAATTCATTCAATTTTTCCGTTGAATAATGCATTCAAATGACTTATAACGCTTATATCAGATGTGTAGCGTATCTCGGCGATGTCCCGTGTTGGGTGACATGGATCATTTTCAATTAGCGTTTCGATTTGGTCATCATCAACGACTGCAGGCCAGCCGAAACATTCTGGGCCTTCAAGGTCAACATTTCCACTTGTGAACCGAGCAAGCCAATTACTCACAATACTCTCAGCTATTGAATCATCTCCATAAACGGCACATATTTTTTGTCTGTTTTTCTTTACGGAAACAACAAGGCCTCAATAGGCGAAAATGCATCCCGATTTCATTATTAAAGTAACAACATAAATGAAATCAGGTGTTCAAAACGCTACGAATACGTGTGTGCTAACCCAAATAAATATACAGCGTATATATGTTTATGCGGGTGATGCGGAAAAGTTCTCGGCTCCCAAAATTTGAAAAAAATTATTAAACATCAGAATTTATTTTCGAATTCTCTCTTTTCAGTAGATCCTAGTAGACATAGAGAACAACAGACGAAGAAAGAAAGAAAGAAAGAAAGAAAGAAAGAAAGAAAGTAATTGATTACTGAAAATATTGTTGCCATACAGTAAGAATAGACAGTAGCCCCCTTTTTTGTCATTTAAAATAAATGATCAACTTCAGTTTGTATTGTTTAATCCAATTTTATAACTTGCGGTAAAATACGCCAAATTATAAAATTGGATTAAACAATACCAACTTAAATTAAATACCATAAATTATAATACCCACTGAAATTAAACAATACCAACCGGTATTTTCTTTTTCAGGATAACCTTTAATGATTTCTGCAACTTGCAACCTTGAATGAATAAAGAACTGAAAGTAATGATACCTTTTTCCTATTTATGAATAGAATTTATAAAAAGAATCCACTTTTGTTTTCACTGAACATGAAAAATTATTTAAAAAAAAAAAAAAAAAAAAAAAAGCTCGAACATTGTGAACGCATCAAGTTAAGAATGTTGCCATGATAGAGAGTAGCCATATTGTAGTGCACATGAATGTCGGGAAAGTGTTTGCTTCTCCTTTGGAAGAAGTCTTCAGTTTTGTGGAAAAAGTGAACGACTTTCGATATTTTTATGAAACGTTTTCTTTCACGCCATGCCAACATTAGCGATTGAGAAAAGTGAATGCAAGTTTAGATTATGTCCTTCCATACATTAGTAACAAATTCAAATGTCACATTAAGAAAAGAAAAAAACTTGCAAAAGAAAGAAAATAGTAAATCAAGCTAAATAGAAGGATCAACCAGTTGGGGGCCTCTAATGCTTTGCATAAAATGTCCGTCGCCTTTGGACAGTTAAAAGATATTTGAGTTGTTTAAGAGAATAATGGTACGAGGCCACCCATTGCCCCACACAAATGTAAGTGAATATCAATCAATAAAACTAAAAGGTTAAAGAAAAGAGGAATGTTATAATGAAGGATGTATCCATTGGAAAAAAAGGATGTGTTGTTTTACATTCAATCATTTATTGCATTTCCGGTGATATTTCCTTCAATGACATGACAGCTTAAATTAGGGCCGCTTAACTACACATGACAAACAAAATTAAAGCCGCTTAAGTACACAACAATCGATTTCAAACGCTCTATCCAGACATAATGCTTCATTTTATGCAATTCTGCATTTTCACTAAATTTTTTCTTCTTCTCTTTAGATTTGTTTTATATCTTATAACTTATTCGCTGTAATCTTTATCGCCATTTCGTTCATACGGTCGCTTCTTTCTTTCTCTTTTCGCTAGTTCTTTCTTGTTTTAAATAACCGTGTCATTCTTTTGTTGGGAAACAATTTTATGCTTTCCTTTGTTTTTCTCTGTCTCTCTATTCTATTTCTTTATTCTCTCTCTCTCTCTTCTATTTCATTTTTCTTTCTTTATTCTCTCTTTGTTTTATTTCTTTCTTTTTTTCTGTCACTCTCTGTTCTATTTAATTCATTTTGTCTTTCTTATGTTTTCTCTCTCTTCCTCTCTCTCTCTCTCTCTTCTATTTCTTTTTTTCTTTATTCTTTCCCTCTCTTTTCAAGTTCTTTATCTTTCTTTAGCCTTTCTCTCTTCTATTTCTTTCTCTTTCTTTATTCTCAATCTTCCATTTATTTTTCTTTATTCTTTCTCTCTCTTCTATTTATTTTTCTTTCTTTATTCTCTCTCTCTCTTCTATTTCTTTTTCTTTATTTACTCTCTATCTCTCTTTCTCTCTTCTATTTCTTTATTTCCTTATTTATACTTCTCTCTGTGTCTGTCTCCACCACCACCCCGTGTGTTTTCGTGTCCTTTTGAAACTTGCCAAGCAAATCTGATTGATCTTTCTTGCTTAAATATCTATGTTCATTGCTATTTAATTATAAGACGATTGACAAATTTCTCTTTTCTGAATCTTCCTCATACCCCCCCGCACTCATTTTCAAAGCAGTAAACGTGTATGTAATATGCTGAGAGTGTATGTTGCTTTTTCGAATTGATCTATATTCATTAAGATTAATCAACACATCAATAATATATAATAAAAAATATCATTTCGCGGTAAAAGTTTTATGAAAAGAAAGTTTTTTTTTAATCTATTCTTTTTCTTATCCTCTTGTAATTTCAAGATTTTTTTTTCTCTCTCTTTTAATTGTCATTAATGAGAAGTTGGCAAATAAGACTCACCAAAAAACAAAGAAGCAAATACAGAAATACACAAATGTCCAGATCATAATATTTATTTTGGACAACATTTTTATTTTATTTTACATTTAATTTCAAGCTAATAGATTAAGTTTAATATTTTCAATAAGCAAAATACGTTGGTGTATTTCATAAACTAATTTAGATTGACCGGAATGAGGTTTTTTGCTAAAATGGTTGATTAGCGTCTCTTTTTTTTGTAAAGTATATTTCATGTTTGGAAGATTGTTTTAATAAAGAGAATTACATAATTCTCTTTATTAAAACAATCTTCCAAACATGAAATATACTTTTCTGAAACTTTGAGGAATATTAGCTGATTTCAAGTATAATTAATCTCATTTGAAACAAATATTATTTACTTAAAGTTTAAAATAACGCAGAAATGCATTTTTAACCTGACAGTAACTGTGTTTTTAACCCGACATTAGCTGTGTTGACATGTTCACTGATCTAATAATGTTCTATGGAGACTTTTTCTGTAAAACATAATCAATGAAAATGACGATCGCTTTCTTATATCATTTTTAAATACTCAGCAATCTTAAAACTTTGGGAAAATATTCCGCATAATCTAATATTTTATTGAATTTTAGAAATGTTGGCTCTAAATTTACTATAGTTAAAGCTCGCATTTTCTAATAATATTGTGTACGGTCGCTTGTACTTACAAAATCGACACGTTCATACACATACAAAATTTATTTTAAAATATTGGTGTTTGATGATTTGTGTTAAGCTTTTCCATTTATGATTAGTAAATATAGTTTTCACTTAATAATAACATCAGTTAAACGACAAAATTAAATAAGAATTTAAAAAATTAAAACTTAATAGATTTTTCTAATTAAAATTTTAAAAAATTTAAAAGAATTTTTGCAAAATTTCATTACTCATCGAAAAATTTTTTTTGAAAATATATCTTATTTATAAAAACGATTAAAAGTTTCTTCTTAATTAAATAATGCCATAGTGTATTTTTATCTTATGATTCAGAGCAGATTTTCTGTAAATGGTGTTTCTTTTTGGCAAAAACAAATTGATGATTAAAATTCTCCAAGAAGTCCTTCTTTTAACTAATATAAATATGAAGAGGCTGACATTTAGCTTCTCGAAATTTCAGAAATTTATGTAAGTGGTGAATGTAAATGTAAAAAAATTATTACCAAGAAAATAATTTCATTCATTTGTGAATAATTTCTGAAAATTTCATTAAAATCCAACAATTATTAGATTTTTGCAAGATTTTTCTTGTGTTTTTTACTGCAAAAAGACGATAAATTTCCCATAATAATCTTTGGTCCACGACTGATGCAAGAAAAGAAAATTTTTTAACTAAAATTTCGAACATGCTAGAAAGGATTAAAAAGATTAATAAAATAATGAAAAAAATACTTTGTTATTATTAAAAGGAAAATTATAACATTTTGACAATAAAATTTTTTATCATGGAATTCACATTTGGGCAAATTTTGGAGGTACCTACATAAATTAAAAAATTTCAAATAAATATATATATATATATATATATATATATATATATATATATATATATATATATATATATATATATACAAATATCACAAACTCATTAGTCTTTTTAAACCATTTTTTTTACACATATGATCTAAAATAAAAATTCCTTGAGGAGTCAAATACTTTTCCAATGAAAGAAGAACATTCAATGAAATTTAAAGAAAACAAATTAAAGAACTGTATAAACTAAATTCAAAGAATAAAAATAGATAATAGTGAAATTCACAGTAATAATTATCTATAATTAGATGACATTAATAGACTGACAAATAGAAAGAAAGAAAGAAAGAAAGAAAGAAAGAAAGAAAGAAAGAAAGAAAGAAAGAAAGTAGGGATGGATGGATGCATGGGTGCATTTGTGTCTGTAAGTGATTCGGAAATTTACTTAGAGCTTTAAAAAAAAGCTTCAAACGAAATAAACTAATTTAAATTACAGTAAAATCGAGCAGTTTGATTAAAAGGCTAAAGAGAAACCAAAAACAAAGAAGAAAATGAAAAAAAAATGACATGAATGAAACACGTCTTTGTTTTACTCTGTATTGAATTTTGTGTCGGGGGAAAAGAGAAAAACAGGAAAATTGAGAAGCCAACAGAGAGTTAAATGCAAGTAAAGATGGCGATAGAAATGAGATAAGCAGCCGTTTATTGAGACAAATGGAGATGGTGTGGAAGAGGGCGGAGCTAGCTTGGAGGTAAAGAGGATAAGGATCAGGTGTTTGAACATAGCTATTTGACGATGATTGAGTGTTGTGGCACAATATTAGTCGTGTAAACAACGAGACTAACACCGTCTGTGCCGTGACGTCATCGTCGACGTGAGGAAGAAAAGGGCGCAAAGGTTTTCCTCTAGTGTTGCCTACTGCCGTACGTGAAAGTCAAAATCTACACGAGAGAAGAAGAAATGTCTGATAAACAACAGGAAAAAGGAAGAAATCTTTAGATTCGATCTCTCTTCTGTTCAGATTTATTTTACTTATAGAGAAATAAAAAAAAAACAATGTGTATATGAATTGTCATATTAAATATTTCAGGCATCCTATTATGTATGATCACGCCTACTGCGTTTATTTAGGTAATACACCACGTGCCACATACGTTTAGGTACCGCCGAAAAAGAAAAAGTGATACCTAACGTTTAAAATGTGTTTTAAAAATGAAAAATCTTTTTTGAAGCTTTTACTTTAGCTTTATTCGAAGCTAACAGATTAACTTTAATGTTTCCAGTAAGCAAAATACTTTGCTGTATTTCAAACCGAATTTCAATTGATTGGAATTATTTTTTTTAATTGCTAAAATCGTTCACATTGACAAATTTGTCATTACAACAATTCTTTTCTTTAAAAATGTTTCAAAAACAAAATATACTTTTATGGAACTTCATTTAGGTTATATTAACACATATGAAGTTAAATTAATCTGAATTAAAACAAAATATTACTTTTAGTTTAAAATATCACAGAAAAGCATTTTTTTTAACACGGAGCTGGATGTTTTATGATGTAATGACAGCTTTATGGACAACTTAAATAATTGGTACTTTTAAGTAAAAATGAATTGACAAATACAACGTGAATATCTTTATTATATAATTTTTTTAACTACCCAGTAATCTTAAATAATTTAGGAAATATTCTAAGTAATCTAATATTTTATTGGATTTTAGGTACTTTATAGTCATACTTACAAAGACGCTTGTTGAGAAAATGTTAGAAAATTAACAATAAATTCTAAATTTACTAGAGTTGCTGCGCTTAATTTCTAATAATGTCGTGTATGTATGTCCGTATTTACAAAAATCGTTACGTCTATACACATATAAAAATATTCAAAATTATTCTTAAAATACTGGGGTCGTTGAATTGTAGTAAGCTTTTCCATTTATGATCAGTAATTATAGTTTTTATTTAATAACAATATCATCTAACTGCTACTCATTGATACATAATTTTTTTTTAAAATTTAAAAATTTTATAAATTATTAAATTTATAAAATTTATTAAAATTTTTAAAAGTGAAAACAATTCTTGTGAAAATTCATTATACTTGGAATTTTTTCTTGATACAATATGTGTATCTTACACATAAAAGCAATTAAAAGCTTTTCTAATTAAATAATGTCTTAGTTTTATTGCATTTTTTATTTTACGGTACAGAGCAGATTCTCGGTAAGTGGGGGTCCCTGTTTGACAACAAAAAATGGATTATTTAAATTCTCCAAGGACATAATTGGGGGAGGGGAGAGATGTTAAAAAAAAGAAACATTTTTAAAAATAATTTCATTCATTTGTGAATAAGTCTTGAAAGTATCATTAAAATCTGATAATTAACTGATTTTTAAAAGAATTTCCAAATCAATGTGTTTTTCACCGCATAAAACGCTCAAAATTTCCATACTAATTCATGGTTACCCGTTGAAACAAGAAAAATAAAATTTTAACAAAAATTTCGATGGTTCTAAAAAAGATTACAAAATATAATTAAATAATCAAAAAATCATTTGGTCTTTTTTCTTAATCACAAATATTTTGCTGATAAAACATTGTTTTTATAAAGTTTAGTTTATTTTTTTAATCATTGATGCTTATTTTTAGCGAATCTTTGGAGGTACACACGTTTTAAAATGGCTATATATATATATATAATATATATATATAATCGTTACTTCCACCCTAATTTTTTAGTGAAAACGCGTATTTGAAATAGAGGCCAGTTTTCTTAATAGTGTGTATTACGTCTACCGGTTGGCGCACCCGAGAAAACATAACGAAGAAAATGTGCAATCCGGCAGAGTTCGAACCTGCATCTTTCTTTGTGTAAGAAACCACCATCTTATCCAGCAAGTTTAAACCGGTTGATCATAAAAAGCATCTCAACCCAGCAAATGACGAAATTATTTCGAAATTATATTGTATTTATAAAATGTCAAAACTATATTACCTTGCATTCTCTTGTTTATGTTCAATACAGCCTGAATATAACAAAAACAAATAGCATTCTATTTCCAAGTGAATAATTATAACTTCAGCGTCACTAGTAGATTAAACTACATAGAAAGTGACAATTAGCTGAGTTTTATGTATTGACGTAGAAAAGTTTCACACACACAAACACACATCATTTCTAGTATTTTTCATTCAGTTTAAATTCTTATTAGTTGATTATATTCAGAAAATCTACGAAAGCAACGTGCGTATTTAGAAATTGTTCCAGTTTGCTCTCTAAATCATGTCTTTCAATTTACAAGCCATTCTCTTCCAAGCGGAAAACGCTTACATCTTTCTAATTTAGTCAATTGGAACGTGACCAACATTTAACAGCCAAAAGATGATTTTAAAAGAATATTTTTTAATGTTAAGTGAGGAAAATAAACCTTTTTATCTATTAAACAGAAAATACTTTTTTATGAAGTGCGTTGCATAATAAACTGAATTTTCCATTCAGCAGAATCATTCACTCTGGAAAGAACGTGCATATCGTCTTGATGGCACTGAACAAGGCATGTAGATTGTCCTGGACATTTTCAAACAAGTTGTATACACACCGTGAATTTTTACAAACAAATATTTCTCTTTTCTTCTGTGGTCCCATCAAGCATTTCTGGGGTCTCATGTATTATTCGGGAAGAAGCAATAGATGTGGCATATAACTAAGAAAAATTTACTATCGAATTGCCTCAAAATAGCAACATTTTCAACAGCATTTTATGCGAATTATTGGAGATTGGCTTTAGAGGACTGAGAAACGTCCTCCGGTTGGAATTCGTGAAGTCTATTTGAGCGAAATCACTTTAAAAATTTTGATAGTACATTAATTTTGTATTGCATGCAAAAGATCTCCATTATAATAGACATACCATTATTATGGACATACCATTATTATGGACATACCATTATTATGGACATACCATTTCATTCGACCAAGTTAAAGAATTCTTGTTCTTATTTACCAATGATAGTTAATTAAAACTATATTTACAAATTAAGGAAAAAATCAACTCAGTTTATAATGTTACACTAGGATAGTAAATAGTTCGGATTGATGTGACGGACATTCTCATGCAAAGCAGGGTTACTATGCATCGATCGACATATTCACTGACAATCTCTATTACTTCTCTGCTGGGAAATGTTCAGAAAGGTGTTTTCAGCAAACAGCAGGCATCAGATTTGGACATGGCAATCATTGGCAGACATCAGTCATGTCCAAGTGTCACCCTATTATTCGCCTGGCATAACCCCCGAGGAATCGAAAAACGACCGACAGTAGGGCGGAGTAGGGCACAAACAATACGAAAACAATACAAGATTTTATCTGAAAGAAGATAAAAAAGGAACTTTATTTTTGTATTCTCATAAAGAAATATCTATTTTTTTTTTTTTTTTTTACTTTGCTAATTTTAAGTCTAACTCCATTTTGTTTTAGTTTTCTTGGAATCTTTATTTTATTTATTTTTTACTTATGCACCAATTGAAAAAGTGAAATACAAAACTTTGAAAAAGAACAATATGATTTTGGTTTTTATTATTAGTCCATGATTTTACTTGTTTTTAATGAATTTTTCTCTAATTATTTTCGTATATTCTAACTCATGCGATAGAGACTTTTTTTTTATACTTATCAATGTTTGATATTAAATCCTTTGCTTCTCTCAGATACTTAGAGTTCTGACACATTGGAAAAATTCACTTCCTTTCACAAGTTAACGAAAAGGCAAGACGCAAATTAATAATCATGTCTGCTTATGCACTTTACACACTTAAAACAAAGTGCACTGCCGTAAACAGATACATAAGAATTATTCGTCCTCATGGTTTTGAAATTTTTAGTAGACTGTTTTAAAAACAGTATTTTATTATCGTCATTAATGGAAACGTCCACAGAAATGCAATGTTATTTAAAAAAATAAACAGAGCGTCGGTCAAATATGGGTATCCACTAAAACAGAGTTAACAGACACACATATATATATATATATATATATATATATATATATATATATATATATATATATATATATATATATATATATATATATAGAAAGAAAGAAAGAGAGATAAAGAGAATGAGATGAGAGAGAGTCGGTCGCAGACTGAGTCAGACAGACAAAAATTGTGACAGATCGATAGACACAGACTGATATATAGAGAGAGAGTGAGTGTCACAACTGAGATAGATAGAAAGAGAGACAGAGATAGAGAAAGGGAGATAGTCGCAGACTTAGACATATCGATAGAGAGAGTAGTAGTCACAGACTGAGACAGATAGACAGAGAGAGAGAGAGAGAGTCACAGACTGAGATAGATAGATACAGAGGGAGACAGTCACAGACAGATACAGGTAGATACAGGAGATAGTCACGGACAGAGATAGATAGATAGATAGATAGATAGATAGATAGATAGATAGATAGATAGATAGATAGATAGATAGATAGATAGACAGACAGAGACAAATAGAGAGAAAGAGACGGACTGTTATAGATAAAGAGAAACGGCCCCAAGTGTTCCATCTACCCAATTTCCCTCGCAAGGCTTGGGTCAAATTGTGGCATGTTTTTTTCTGGCATTTTCCAATGGTGCCGAACGCTGGGATCGCTCCATCCAGACCGATAACATCAGGGCGTCTCCTTCCTGACAAATTCACCATGGTGAGTGTCATGGTCAAAAAGCGAACGTTCTAACCACTCGGCCACGCACCCATAGATATATACATAGATAATTACATACATGCATACATAGATGCATAGACAGAAACAGAATGAGATAGACAGATAGATCGACAGCTGGAAACAGACATAATTAGATAGATACATACATACACACAGACAGACAGACTTAGAGATAGACAGCTACATAGTTACTTAGATCGATACAGACAGACAGCGAAATATATAGATAGATTGACAATGACATAGATAGATAGATAGATAGATAGATAGATAGATAGATAGATAGATAGATAGATAGAGAGAGAGAGAGAGAGAGATTAAGCAAGAGACATAGATAGATCGATACAGAGAGCAATAGACTGACATAGATAGATAGATAGATAGTAACAAAAAAAAACCGACGGGCATAGATATAGAGATAGACAGACAGAAACAGAGTTAGAAAAGTCAGACTTAAATTTGCGTAGTATGAGAAACTGATTAAGTGCAAATGTACGTGCAGATATCTTCCTTAATGTCTTTGAATGTGAGTGTGTCTCTATTCGCCTTTTGTGTTCATGTACGCTTTCATCAGTAAAATTAATGGAAGCGTAATTAACGCGAACAACGCATCACTTATTTTCTCACTAAATATTTAATCGTCTGCTACTAAAACCGCCTTGAATGTGTCATCGTCCAGGGCACTGGTAATGCGTAACAAAGATGGACAATTATAACTAAAGAGAAGCCTTTATAAAACTCTACACCAGTTTATTAACCAATGTCGATTTCTAAATCTCCAAAACTTCTCCATTTTGCTATTTCGAACAAATGTCATTTTTCGCCGAGCTTTCGTCAAGCAATCAAAGGCTTGATTAGTTTGTTGATTGAATGTTTCGTGATGGTGTTGGTGAGGTTTTATGTGATTCAAGTATCTGTGAACGGCATTGTCTCGGGAATCGAACGAAAATTACTTGTGAACACGAGCAGAGTTCCGCCCGTTACCACTCAATTGTCAGCAATTGATATACAATTGATTTTCAAATACAAAAGGTCTCAACTTTACAGACGACATACAAAAGTGCGCACATACCTGTTTATATTTGAATGAATAAGGATATATCTGTTTTAACGGCTATCAAGGTACCAAGAAAAAAAAAAGAAATTAAGAAAAATATATTAAAAAAGGTTAGATTTTTAAAAAAATTATAAAAAGTAGACATTTGTAAATGATATGAGAATGTTTTCTTTTATTCCTTATTTTTTTTATTTCCGCACGATATTGAAAAATATTCATATTTCAATTCAACATAAATTAAATTGTAATATTAAGTTTTATTCATCATAAAATATCTAGCGTTTCATTCAAGATATGACAACACCAACTTATGAGAATCTACATAGAATAATAATTTCAAATGACTTCAAAAATATATTGCACAAAAATAAGACAAAATAACATGCAAATTATTTTTGAATTACAGATAAAAAGTAAAATAGTAAAATTTGCATTAAAAAAGTATACTTCTGTGAGAGAGAAGAACAGACTGACAACATAAGTTTGCTTATTGGCTTTTTCGTACCTGATGTAGATAAATGCCGAAGGTTGATGAGATAAATATCATTTCATATAATCATTATTTGAGATTTTTTTTCCTTAATTATTAACTTCATTCTTTTTGTTTTAAATTCAACGTATATCAAGTGTTTTTTTCTTTCTTCAGGGATATGTGACATTTAGTGTCTTTAGAATTTCATTAAATGCTTTGGTTGTTCTTTTGTTAATTCTAAAATGATTTCTAAGTAACATTGGCTTGACATCCACTAGAATATAATAGGAGAAAGGGTCAGTCTAAAAATTGCCCTAAGAACAAAAATTAAGAAATTAACGCGAAAAATGTATGAAATAATGAAAATGTCTCATTTCAAAAAGCATTTGGTTTGAGGAAATATGTCTGTAAATCTTCATCTCTGGTAACGCAAAGTTCTTATTTATTGTCCATGTAAAAATTAGTTGGGTTTACGCATGTGTTTTAAGAAGAAACTACTCTTGAAATATTTTGGATGCATACCTTTCAAATATTAGCAATCATTTTCTCTCTCTCTCTCTCTCTCTCTCTCTCTCTCACACACACACACACACACACACACACACACACACACACACACACACACACACGAGGGGGTCCTGAACTAAACATCTTATTTTTTTTGTCAAAGTCTTATTAATGCTAACCTTTCGCTTCGAGCGTCGGCTAAAATAAATGAAATAAGTTTTCCGCTATTCATTACTTAATCAAATACCTGTGCTTCCCCCCCCCCCATAGTACCTAGGTTTGACCGTTAAATCGAAATAGTTGCAATATCCCTAGGTACCTTCCTGTTTCCCGATAACGGTATAATAATCTAAATGTTGAATGCAACGACAGATCGTGAAGCTAATTCAGCATCCTCATGTCTTGCCTGCAGTGAACTATTTGTCTTTCCGCTACAATTAACCCGTAGGTTGACATTTCAAGAAGATCTAGCGGACAAGAAGTTAGATAGATCATTAGCCAATCTCACAGTGCACCCTATTTTTACTTGGAGATGGTATTTAGCGGTTAGTCACTACTTGTTTCTTGGCGAAATCGTGTTTATTTCTTGGCGAAATCGTCGCTATGCCTGAAAGAAATCTTCCTTTCTTAATCGGTTCGTCGTGGATTCCATTCTGACGGTAAACATGTCGTGCTGTAATTAGCGTCTGTCGTGGCTAAGTTCTAGAAAATATTCTTCAGCAGGATTTAAGAGATGTTCCTCTGTGAATATCTGTAAGCATTACCTGATAAGTTCCTGGTAAATATCAATGGCCATATTTGATTTTGCCAGTTACTCAGGAACAAGTACCGCTTTTTATATTTGATTTAAGTTTCACTGCAACACAGAACAGAATTTTCTCAGTTTATGGACCGAGAGTTATTTGTGGTTACAACATATTTTGTCCACCTTTGCCCACCTTAATTGATGCCTTCACATTGCGTTACATGATTGTGTGTCACTATGAGAGTATTATCAAAGTTATACCCGGATAACACTGTGAACACCGTTTCTGGTTCGAAGATTCTCGGAACAGCTACGAATCGGCATAATATTGCATATTGATCATGTGTATGTGTGTGTGCGGGTGTGTGCGTGTGCATGTGTGTGTGTTTATACTTATTAACATATCAGCGAATATCACATTTGCTCCGATTTTAAACTGACTGATTGTCTTATACAACTTTGTCTCAGAAAACACTTTAAAAATAAATTGATGAAAATCTCCCTAAAAATTGAATTAAATTTGTTATTAAGCCGTCATTATCAACTGGTGAATAGTCATCAGCGTTGTTCGTATGAAAATGATTTAATAATGAAGGTTATTAATCGATGTCTTTTTATCTCATCCAAGTTGAACACTCATTGAAAATGCGATTGAATAGAATAAACAAATAAGTAGATATGAAATTTTTTATTTTTTTATTTTACATTAACAATCTTGCTGCCGGAAACTTTCTTTTCTATCAAAACCCAAAATCAAAACTCTCATGTTTTTTTCCCGTTGAAGTGAAGTTACGAAAGTTCTGTTGAATCTTAATTTGATTTGAAAAAAAAAGTCCATTTCCGAAATTTTCAATATCTAAACGAAAACGAAAAGCAAAAAAAAAATCCTTTTTGTTATTGAAAGCCGCTAAAATAGCAACACAGAGAAAACTGCAAAATATGACGATACTGTTTCCCCTTCTTCCGAAACATGCTTAGCGATCATTATACATGAATTAGGATTTATAGTTCGTAGATGGAAGATTTAGAATGTGACATCTAAAGAGAAAATGAAAAGCTGATATTTTTTTAAATTCAGAGTCGGCACATTTTTACTCAGAAAGTTGGTGCCATACAAGAGATATTAGTTAACACATTTAAGAACTTGAATATCTAGAATTGTGCATTTAATTCTTGGAGTCTTTGATAAATTTGGAGTTTAGATAATTTCAGAGCAATGCTTCGGCAATTATTAGGAGTTACACAGATATAAATTCATATGTCTGCGCCAAATTCCTGTAACTTCTGAAATGGTAAATCTACAATTATCGTCCAGAATGATACTTTTAAGTCTTCAAAACTGAAATATTAAAAGGTTAAACTTGGTATCCATTGAGATAAAACAAGATTGGAAGTTGTAAAACAGTGTTGTTTTTATGGTGGTAGGTGAGGGTACAACTCTTCGATTCTATTATGAGATTAAATTCAGGTAACGTAGTTATCCACGTTCTGTGACTATGAGAATTGATTGAGGAAGTGTTCAGCTGTTAACCAAATCAAAATAGTCTGTTGATTTTCAAGAAAGCCATAATACTATGACTTAAATAGACATGGGGAATTATAATATTCGCTTGGATATGAAAAGATGAAATTAGAAAAAATGATTTATGGTTTAGGAAAAGAAAATAATGGCGAAAATGAGAATGACTGAATAATAAAAACAGAAGAAAAATAAGAGAAAAATAAGAGAAATAAATATAAAATAGAATGAAAAAAAAAAAGAGTCAAATGGAGGAAAAAGAGAAAAGGGACATGGGATCATGTTCAACAACAAAAACCAAAACAAACGGGATTGGAAGAATGAGAGAAAAGATGGATGATGGGAAAAACTAAAATGGAAGAAACTTAAAAAAAGTGATGGACAAAAAGAGAGAGAGAAAGGAAACCAGCACAAAGAACGACCAGGACACATACATGAGAGGCAACAAAAGAGATCTCTGGTGGGCATAAAAAAAGAAACTCAAACTAACTCGACCTTACAGCACACTGATTCTTTTTTTTCCCAGCCGCGGACAAGACATTTTTGCATTGCCTGTATGCATTGAGCCTCCTCTTAGCTATTTAGCTGTTTAATTGGAACCTCAGTGCCGCGTTAATAGTGTCTTCATTAGTGTACGTCCAAGCGGCAAGGTGGCCAGTCATCTTCTGAATAGAAAGACGACAACCATTGATGCACCCTTTCCGCCAAAAGCCTCTTTGCCAAGATGGCTGTAATGAGATCCGCATCACTTCAACAGACTCTTCGTGTCCAATGTTGAATATTCTGAAAACCCACTTCTTCTTGAAACTTTTGCCCCTCAGGGCAGCTGACCTCCTAACTCCTCCTATCTCTCCGATGTTTTACATCCGGTGCAGCCTTTAACTTTTCCCGCCTGTATGTTGTTCCTTATTTCTACTTTAGTAAATTTGATTCTATTTATTTTCTTTTCGGTATTAAACAAAATTGAGACGGGGGCGAGAGAGAGAGAGAGAGAGAAAGAAAGAGAGAGAAAGAAAGAAAGAAATATTGTTGTGATGGTAAGAGAGTAATAGATTTGTATTTGTGAATGATTGTGAACGTTTGGGAATTAAATTCAAGTTCCGAAGATACGCAATACGATTACTGCGTATACATATGGGATTTTATGAGTGATGAGCATTTTCATATTCTCTAACTAGTAAGTTCCATCCTTACTTTGTGCTTCCTGAATTTAACCTTGTGTGGAGTTGCATTTTGTTATGATTCAAACATATTGGTCTAGACACAACACTAGCCCAGTCTCTTAGTACAAACACACACACATACACACACACCCACGCACACACACACGCACATATATATATATATATATATATATATCCTAAAAAGAATAAACACATCTATATTAGAAATATATTCCTTAAAACTCTTGGAAATATTCGTCTGACGCTATTAACTGGTTCCAAAATATAAAATATAAAAATAAAGCCACTTTTATCCAATTAGATATTATCGACTTCTACCACTCCATTTCTAAAGATTTATTAGAAAATAGCTTAAATTTTGCTAAAAATTATACTAAAATTACTGACGAAGAAATAAAATCATAATAGACTCTAGACAAAGACTTAATGACACTACTTGGATTAAAAAAAAACAGAGACAATTTCGATGTTCCAATGGGTGCATTTGATTCTGCTCAAATAGCAGACTTAATAGGTATATACATTTTAGATATCCTGAGCAGATTCCTTAACCCCCAAAATGTAGGGCTTTACAGGGATGATGGACTTATTGTTATACCTAATTCCAATGGTCCTCTAACATCCCAACTACAGAAGAAAATAATTAACGCCTCCAAATTTCTAGGATTTAAAATCGAAATATCATCCAACCTAAAAATAGTAAATTTTCTAGACGTAACATTTGATCTCGACAATAACACTTATAAACCCTTCCAAAAGGAAAACCAATCGCCCATATACATAAATATCGACTCAAACCACCCGAAAGCAATTATAAACCAAATTCCAAATACAGTACATACAAGAATAAACAAACTGTCTTCTAGTAAAACAATTTTTAACCAAATAATCAAGCCCCATTAAAAAGAAAATTTAAACAAACACTAAATTATATAGATAAATGAATTAATAACACATCCACTAAGTCCAAAAATAGGAAAAGGGGGATTATATGGTTCAACCCGCCTTTCTATAGATTTTCGAGTATTAATATAAGGAAATACTCCCTAAAACTAATAGACAAGCACTTTAGTAAAAATGAACTATTGAAAAAGATGTTCAAGAAAATGAATTTAAAAATTAGTTATTCTTGCATGAGCAATGTTAAAATTATTAGCTCTCACAATAGCAGAATTATGAGAGAATTTCATAATAATCAACTACAAAAGGATCTTAATGCATAGTATTAGTTAAATATTTAAATTACTAGCAAGCATCAAATTAATTTCTTCGTGGAATTTTTTTAATCATTTAAATTGCTATCAAACATTAAAATCTGTTTTTTTACCTAAATTGCTAAAACTATACCACCCCTCTTCTTCCTCCGTAAAACCTAATAACAGCTTCTTTCTCTGTACTTCCCCCTTCTTGCATTTTCTTTTTCGCTCTTCTCCCTCCCCTTTCAATATATCTTTTCCGTTAAGTTAACCGATTAAATAGGCCAATGTCTGGTCCCTCCTCCCTCAATACTAAGTATGATCGAAAGAAATATTAAAATAGACCCTCTCTAAACTCGATCATATCTCTCACACCACTCCTCGCTACCCTCTCTGTTAAATTACATAAACTTAATACTACCCGTCAAAAGTGTGAATTTTCATTTCATTTTTCGTTTCACCTTGTGGAAGTGATGTCTGATGATTTAACGTCCTTTAAAAGAGATCTGGTGAAATAAATTATTACAATGAAACCTTAAAGTGGTCTGATTTTCCTTTAATATATATATATATATATATATATATATATATATATATATATATATATATACGCGTGCATGTGTGTGTGTTTGCAATAAGAGAATAATAATAATAATTTTAAGAAACTGCAGCGGTAGAACTAAAGAAAAATAAAACAAGAAATAATAAAAAAAAAACTTTCAAAACCCTCGGATTTACAATAGATATAAATTCAAATAAAAAATAGTAAATTTCTTAGATATAACATTCTACCAAAACAACAGAACCTACAAACCATACAGAAAAGCAAACAGCAACCCAATATACGTTAACAAAATTCTAACCACCCCCTAACTCATACCCATATCTGTAAATAAAATAATTTCAACAAATTCTAGTTGTCTAAAAATATTCAATGAAAATAAAATAAGAAAACACTTGAAGAAATAGCGGATATTCAAACAAACTAGAATATAAACAAAAACAACAGAACAAAAAAAACAAATATAATGTGGGTCAACCTTCCTACAACAATAGAATAAAAACAAAAATAGCAAAAATATTCCTCAAAATAATTAACAAATATTTCCCTAAAAAAACAAATTATCAAAAATTATCAACAAAAATAGTATCAAAATTAGTTACAGTTGCATGGATAACATGGAGAAAATAATAATTAAGCAAATTAAAAACAAAACCAATAACAATTACAACAACACTACTAAATGTAACTGCAGAAACAAAGAACATTGCCCACTTAACAATAAATGTTTAACCGATAACATAATATATAAAACTATCGTAAGTCATAACATTCACACAAACGAAAAAATTACATGGAGGCCACAGAAAAAAACAACAACTCTTAAACAAAGATATTATAACCACAAAATGGGATTGGAAAGAAAAAACACACAAACAATACAATCTTATCAAAATACACATGTTTCCAAAAGAAAACAATATCCCTGCAAAATCAAATGAGAAATTATAAAAAGAGCAGCCCCATACAGTACTAAAAGTAAAAATTGTAAATTATACTTAGAGTAAAAATTAGCAATAATTAGTTTCAAAAATCAAAATAAACTCTTGAACAAGAAAACTGAAACAATTGGTAAATGCAGGCATATAAATAAATATTTACTTTGTCATCTAAGCACGAACTAAAAGTAAACAAATAATAATAAATAAAATATAAACTTTAAACAAATAAATAAATACAATAAAAATATAATACAAACTTTAAATAAATAAATAAAAAAAACAAACATGATATAAACTTAATTCATTAATACACAAATAAACGAAGAGATACTAAACATACACACTTATACGCGCGTATGTATATGTACATATGGATATATAGACGCACACACACATAAAAACACCCCACAAAAGAACACCCCCCCCATAATTAATACCCCAATATGTAACACCAAGACAAAAAAATAAACAAATAATCATTAAATAAAAATAAAACATTAAATAAACTATGACATATGCATAGACTTATTTTAATTACATATACACTATTTAACAATTGCATATGAGTGCATAATTGCAGCGTGCGTATGGTCCGTGCTTGAGTATGTACTATATATATATACGCACGTTTATGTGTACATATGTACGCGTAGTATGTCTATATACGTGTGTCAACAGATGTGCACATGTGAGTATACATAAGCGTATAGAGACATATGCACACAAATTCAAACAATGATAAATAAATTGAATTATAAATCGAAGCTTCTACAATTAATACTTATGAAACAAAATAATAGCCCAATGAAGATATATAAATATATGTATATGTGTGCATGTATGTATCTGTGTATATATATATATATATATATATATATATATATATATATATACACATTGTGTGTGTGTGAATGCGTATATGTAAGTATTTACCATTTAAGCATTAATATCATTAGTATCACACACACACACACACACACACACACATACACACATATACATATATATATATATATATATATATATATATATATATATATATTGAGGCAAGTTTTCATTGAATAATTTAGAGAAATTTTGTCTGCTTATTTTAAGTAGGATCCGTTCATATTCTCGGATGAGCTTTTTGGTGTTGGTATTAAAAAAGAGAGAAAAAGACCGTGTTGATACATAATATTTTATTTCAAGTACTTTAACACAATGCAACCTCAGGGTGTGTTTTTAAGACAAAAATGTAGTGTTCATAATTTCCAAAGACAACTCAACCGCCGAGACAACGTGGTCGTTGTAAGACCAACATAAATATTATTTCCTTTTGGAGATACAATCACCCAGAGGATATTTACATTATACGATGTTGGTTTTCTCCAATACATTGGTTGGTGGGGAAGAGTCGTTACGAATAATTAAATTGAATTTACTGGATTTAGTGTAGTATATAATTTAATTTTTTTTACTAGCGTCTGTTGTGGATGCGTTGGTATTTATTAAATTTTAAGTATATTTTCGTCTTGTTTGTAATTAGAATGCATTTGGTTAGGATATAGAAGATTATGTTTGAGGTATTATATTCAATTTGCTTTATATTAGCATTACTGATTATTCTTATTTGTTCATCAACAATAAAATTAGGAAAGTTTTTATTAATAAAAGTTTGTTTTATGTTTTTTAATTCACTGTAGAAAATCTGTTATGTGGAAAATTTAGTTTTTGCCCAGTTTATTATGTTTTTTTGTTTTTATATTTTATTTGGATATTCAGTCTTATATTTAAGTGTTCCCAAATTTATGCTGCTAGGTTTCTTATATAGTGAATTTATTATGATTAGTGTTTATCAGTAATCTAGAAAATTTTATTACTATTATTAAGTTCGTATGTAAATTTAAGGACAGAATTATTTTGGAATTGTTTTTGGAGGTGATATATTTCATCAATATATATTATTAATTTCAGTTGGTTGGTTGGTTGGTTGGAATCTTTTTAATTTTTAAAAAAATTGTGTGGTCATGGAGTATATGTTCTAGTTTTTTTGTCGTAGTCGGATTTGTTTAGAACAACGAAGTTGTTATTTTTGTCAACTTTTTTTGACGGATATGTAAGCTCCTTATAGCGGCAATTTCTCTTTGCTTGTTTAGTATTTGTGAAAAGTTTTTGTTTTTTTTTATCATGCCTCCTTAACTGTGAGGCAGTTAAGGAGGCATGATAAAAAAAGTAAATACCTTGAGTAAATACCTAAATT